TGTCGCCAAAGTCAACCTCGTACTCCCAACTGAAGACTAACCCAAATTCCCCTAAAAACTCATTCAATAAACTGAAAAACTTCTGAAGCAAATTCATACAGAGAGATTTTTGAGGAAAAAAAAATTTTTTTTTTTTTAATTTCAAAAAAGTTTTCGAGATTACATAATAAAATGTATCAATAAAGTTAATCACTAAAACAATTACTATTAATATTATTCAAATCACTTCATATGGTGATAAATAACGGCAAAACATCCTATTCTATTCTAAGGATTCCCTGTAATTGAAATGAAAATATTTAGATATATCAAATCTTTAAAACGAAACGACGAAAATATCCCCAAAAATTTACAAGAAAGCGATAAGCAGCCAAGGTTGGCTACACTAGTTTCATTTCATTTCAAAATCCATCTCTCATAGAGAACTTTGTTTTACATTTGGAAATACCACAATTTAAATTCTACTTTGTTAATCATGACGCATAGTTACGATATTAATATCAGGGACCAACGAAAAACACTTACTATTTATAAATAAATTTCATTCACTTCCTAAATTTTAGAACCACACTCGGAGAGCAAAATAATAGTGTTGCCACATGAAACTTTTTTCACAAAGGATCCCTTTTTATCAACGAGATTTTTTTCGCGACACGATATTAGAAAACATAAAAATAAATACTTTCCCGTTCCACAATCACTTCCCGATTGAGAAGCCTTGTATTGAAACATAAAAGTTTTTACAAAAGTTAAAATTTATGAAAAGACTCTGAAATAAAAAATTAATAAGAGAAAACTGCTAAAAGAAATAAATGTTCTCACATCCCGGATCCAGATCAACTCAACAGTTCAGTTATTGTCACTCTTCTGTCCTTTACATCAACTTCAACTTTTACTTTGTTGTTATACGAGGTTAAGCACATGTGAGGTATTACCGGGAAGAAGTTATTATCGTGAAAATATGTCATGTTTTGAGCTAGTAAAAATTTCACAATTCATGTATTTTTAAAATAATGATTCGAACTGCATGTGGGAATGCAATGTGCCACTTCAAAGTGTATCAGTGCAAGAAAATTTCCTACATAGGTACATAAAATTTATCAGTATTTTATGTGCTGATTTTTATTCGAATAGATGCATGATTAAATTTTTAATTATAGTACGATTTATTCTTAACTTTTTAATGAAATCTTTTATGCAATTGACACATTTTCATTACAAGGTTCAGTTTTGTTATCCGCAATCGGTTAATTTTTTCTTATGCAATAGTTTGAAATATAGAATTCGACTTTCCTGGTTAGTTAAAATTTTGAATTGCAAGCATGGGGATAACCTCACCTTCATTGAAATTATTGTATTCCTCCCGGATACACGATTAATATTCATGAAATTTTCTTCAAAAAGTTAAAAATATTTAGCGGCTGATCTTCATTTTATGGTTACCGACGAGTTTGCGGTTTGGTGAAGTTTGGCAACAAAATTCCAACATTAATTTTATTATTATTTGAATTTCTGATCAGGTGTGGTTGATTTCATTTAGTTAAAAGGATTGCTGAAAGTAAAAATACTTTTTGACGATGGTTAATGTAGCCTTCTGTGGTAGAGCTACTTAGATACCAGGGATATTTGAGGAACATGATCAAAATACAGCTTTGAACCTAACTGCATATCTAAGGGCTTATAAAGAATGTTAGAATGGCCGTTTGTACTGTTTCTCTTTTTTTTCCCCAAAAATTATGTGTAAACCCTGACCACTCTCTAAAATTTTAAAATTTTTCTTTAAAATATATTAATGAATGAATAAAAGAAATCTATTACTTATGAATCATATACTTCGACTCAATTTTGCATACAAGTTGACATGATTTGCATTTGCTACTTATGCTTATTATGCTATTTGTGGTAAGACAAAACGTATTTAGGCTGATCTTTACAATATGGTAACTGGTAGTTTGGCGACATTTTGGAGGCGATAAAGGTTACTACCTGGGACTTTGGTAATAATGTGAGCAGTACTCAGTTCCGATTATGCATTATTTTGTGTGAGGGAAATGAGAGATCATGTGATATGTCATGTGATATTAATGGACGAATTACGGTTCTTTAATCGGAAAAGGGGGGAAATCGGGAAAAAATCTGGAAATTTTGTATTTGCCTTTATTCTGTGTTGTGTGAAACAGTGTTCATTAATTTTTGGATCCCATGGCCCTAACTAAAGTGAATTTGAAATGGGTATTTAGTGGGATTGAAAGGCATAGTAATAAATGTTTCTTTAAGGTTGTGCGAGATAGAAGTAAAGATGTTTTATTAAGTTATTTATTTTACCTGGTACCTTGGTGTGAACTATAAGTATGATTTTAAGGATCCTGAAACAGAAATAAGAAAAGTTTATCGGACACGTAATCAAGATTCTGAAGAAGAATAGGTAAGTTAGTATTTTTAATTATTTGAGGATATTATTTTTATGCATTGTTCTAAATGTAAGGTGGAAGTAAAGTAATTTGCGTAAACGTGCATGGAAATAATTTAATATAAGTATTTTTAATTATTTGAGGATATTATTTTTATGCATTGTTCTAAATGTAAGGTGGAAGTAAAGTAATTTGCGTAAACGTGCATGGAAATAATTTAAATATTTGACACTAAGTATTTCTAACCATTTGTAATGAAGTAAAGGTATGAATTAGTTAGTGACGTTTGTAATATAATAGATAATGTAGAGGTAAAAGTTTATGGATATTTTATTTATTTTATACGGGGAAATGTTCATATTTGGAAAGGGTATGTACTTTTTCGCAATCAGGTAATTTCATATATGTTCTTTTTACCAGGTTTAAAGATTCAGAAAATTGTTATGCAATTTTGTGAAATTTTTCTAGTTTATGAGAAAAAAGCAGTGTACATGGATATAGTGAAGAGTGTGCGCAATGCCATTTTTGTGCAATTCTGGGATGTTTTTTTAAGTAAAAATAAGTTGACGTGTACATGGTTTAGTGATATTTTAATTAAATGATAGTTATTTTGTGAATTTTATGTTTGTAGGAATTTGGTATACGTTTAAGTTGAAGTAAACGTGCATGGAAATAATTTAAATATTTCACACTAAGTATTTGTAATGCTTGCGATATGAATTCGTTGGTGATGTGTATAATATAATAGATGATTTAGAGGTAAAAGTTTTTGGATATTTTATTTATTTTATATGTGGAAATGTTCATATTTGGAAAGGGTATAAACTTTTTCGCGATCAGGTAATTTCATATATGTTCTTTTTACCGGGTTCAAAGATTCAGAAAATTGTCATGTATTTTTGTGAATTTTTCTAATTTATGAGAAAAAAAAGCAGTGTACATGGATATAGTGAAGAGTGTGCGCAATGCCATTTTTTGTAATTCTGGGATGTTTTTTTAAGTAAAAATAAGTCGGCGTGTACATGGTTTATGTGTATGTGTTATTTTGAAAAAATGCGTAAGGAGTATGGTATTGTGCACTTTTTCCCAATTTTGCAGTGAATATTTGTCATGATTAAGCAGTTTTTTTAGATAAAATTTCTAGCATAAGTGTAATTCGGCTAGTAGATTGTTGGAAGAAGTGTTCCCGTAGATAAAAAGAAAAGAAACATGTCTTTACTTCGTGAAGACAAAATGGCGACGGAAAAAAAAATAGAGAGTTGCTGTAGGAGAGTTGGTCGCCAAATTTTCGCCAAAAAATCGCCAAGTTACCATAATGTAAAGATCAACCAAAGAAAGGATATGAAATTACCTGATCGCGAAAAAGTATATACCCTTTCCAAATATGAATATTTCCACATATAAAATAAATAAAATATCCAAAAACTTTTACCTCTAAATCATCTATTATATTATAAACGTCACCAACGAATTCATACCGCAAGCATTACAAATACTTAGTGTCAAATATTTAAATTATTTCCATGCACGTTTACTTCAACTAAAACATATACCAAATTCCTACAAACATAAAATTCACAAAATAACTATCATTTAATTAAAATATCACTAAACCATGTACACGTCGACTTATTTTTACTTAAAAAAAAAAAAATCCCAGAAATGCACAAAAATGGCATTGCGCACAATCTTCACCATATCCATGTACACTCCTTTTTTCTCATAAATTAGAAAAATTTCATGAAAATGCATCACAATTTTCTGAATCTTTAAACCCGTTAAAAAGAATATATATGAAATTACCTAATAACGAAAAAGTATATACCCTTTCCAAATATGAACATTTCCACGTATAAAATAAATAAAATATCCATAAACTTTTACCTCTAAATTATCTATTATATTATAAACGTCACCAACGAATTCATACCGCAAACATTACAAGTACTTAGTGTCAAATATTTAAATTATTTCCATGCACGTTTACTTCAACTAAAACGTATACCAAATTCCTACAAATATAAAATTACTTTACTTCCACCTTACATTTAGAACAATGCATAAAAATAATATCCTCAAATAATTAAAAATACTAACTTACCTAATCTTCAGAACCGTCATTATGTGTCCGATAAACTTTTCTTATTTCATCCGCTAAATAAAAAGCAAGCGTATGTGCGCCTGTTTCAGGATCCTTAAAATCATACTTATAGTTCACAGCAAGGTACCAAGTAAAATAAATAACTTAATAAAACATCTTTTCTATCTCGCACAACCTTAAAGAAACACTTCTTACTACCCCTTTCCAATTCACTTTAGTTAGGGCCATGGGATCCAAAAATTAACGAACACTGTTTCACACAACACAGAATAAAGCCAAATACAAAATTTCCAGATTTTTTCCCGATTTCCCCCTTTTCCGATTAAAGAACCGTTTAATTCGTCCATTAATATCACATGACATATCCCATTGATCTCTCATTTCCCTCACACAAAATAATGCGTAATCGGAACTGAGTACTTACTGCTCACATTATTACCAAAGTCCCAGGTAGTAACCTTTATCGCCTCCAAAATATCGCCAAACTACCAGTTACCATATTCTAAAGATCAGCCAAAAACTCATATGTATTTCACTCATATTACATATAATTTTTCATAATAACAAACAAGTTTAAAATGTCGAAAAGAAAATACTGAAATGCTTGCGTAAGAGCAATACAGCATAGAATTTGAAAACAAACATCTCTTTCCCCAATCTGAGTGATAATTGATTACTGTTTGGCATTCAAGTCTGTTTAGTAAGGGGAAGTGGTTAGATTTCATCTATCGTTAGCAACAGGCTTGAGCACTTTACAGGTGACAGTGAGATTTAGCTCAGTTCCGCCCCCAATTTTGATGGAGAGTGCTCTAGGGCCCAGGTCTGAGAGTCTACCACCAGAGAGGACTTTCGGTTCGTCATATATTTAGAGTTTCCCCATGCCACAAGAAATGGAGATTCAATGGTAAGCATATGTTGCACATCTTGTTAAGTTTAAAGCTTGAAGTAAAAATACTTTTGGTGCAGTTGTTACATATATGGATAGTGTGATAAAGAACCTGAAAGTTTCAGGAGACACCAAGAAGTTAAATTATTTAAAGGATGGAACCCAACAATATCTTTCAAGCAAATAATAAATCTAGTCATGTTCTGATATTGCTTAATAAAATGCTAGTGGCCAAAAGCATAATTGATATTACTGATTATTGTACTGTATATACTCATATTTAAATAGACATAAATATTATGTATATCAAACTGTAAATCTTGCTTCTAATGTTGGGGAATTTTATAACTATTACGTCTTTACAGTATATTAACTTAAAATGTTTGCCTTTGAAAGTCAAACTGTAAAGAAGGTAAAGCACATTTAGCTGCCCTCTTAGATTTTTGTTTCATCAAAAAATGAATGTTCAAAGGCATATAAAAATGTCTTTGAATGCATTCGCTTTAAAAAACTTCTTGCCACATAATTCATCTCTAATACAGTACAATAATCAGTAATCTCCATTAAAAGCAATTTTTAATAACTTTTGATTTTTAAAAAAAATATATTTTAAAGAAAGCTGTTCTGAAGACTGCCAGATTTAAAAGGGAGAGGGAAGATGCTGCTTATTTCCTTATGAAAATACAGAAGATTTGAACACACAGAATATAAATGACTTAATTACTTTTAAATATATAATATTTGACTGATGGAATAATTTTTAATCATCTTATTTTTACTTTAAAATTGAATTCTTAACTTCATCACATCTTCTAGAAATTATCTGCTGATAAAGTTAGATGCTAACATTTTAAATTACTTTTTTTTGGGGGGGGGGGATTCCTGAATGCCAGTTTAGCTTCTTTCTTGGCCATAATTGTCTCTACAACCATTGTTTACACAATTATGTTTTTGTTTAAATAAAGTTTTTTTTATTTATTCATTAATTTTTATTGCAATAGAATTCACTATTTAGGCTTTGGAATATTTCATAGCAAGACGCTCATTTATAATTTATTCTGACTCATTTATTATAATTTAATCAGCACATTATTATAATTTAAACTTATTCCTAATAGATTATATTGTCATTTTGTTGATCTAAATCCTAGATGTGTTACTCGGTTTATTGAATGCCTATGAGGTTATACAACATGGCACAATAATGGTCAAAAAGCTCTATCTGCTGACATTTAGACTTTTTTAATTGAATTCATTTTCCATCCTATGTATTACAAAAGAGAAATGTCTGTTTTGTTAAATGCAATTTTTAATTTTATGCCTTCTCTTTAGTCTTATATAGTTATTTTTTAGTAAAAAGTTTATTAATAACTTAATTTATTTAGTAATTTAAGAAAAAATATAATTATTTGTTTTTATTTCAAACTTCTTTTTTATGAAAATAAATAGTTTCAGAGATGAAACCAATGTTACTTGAGTTGGGAAGCTCATAAAGAAAAAAAAAGACTATACATAAAAGCATGGGAGAAGAAGTCAAAATGCACCTACAAGACATTGAAAATAGTATGTGGTATGGCATTAACAAAAATGTATCAAATAAATAACAGATTACACACTTTAATGCAATTATCCAAAATATCTTTAATTAAATAATATTTTAAAATACAGAAGACAAGAGTTCTTTTTTTAAAGAAAGCCAAATAATAATTAATGTTGGGTTTTATTTATTGTATTTTAGAAAATATACTAAAGCTTTGAGGAATTTAAGGGGGAAATGGAAATATTCATATTGCATGTGGTACTTTACAATGTAAATTTTTCATCATACTCTAAAATATTAAAAAAAGATTGTCATCTGCTGATCAATTTTTGAGTGAGACTGCCTATAATATTTTCAATAATTTTTAATTTATAGCAATCTAAGGCTAATGAGTTAAGCTTTATAAAAAATTTAAAAAGGAAAGATACTTTCGAATTATCTGCATCCTTGACTGAAAAGCTGTAAACTCTGTGCTAACTTTTATAGCATTTACAAAGTCATTGATGACTAATTTTTATCTAAGTTAGTTCAAGAAATGCAACAATCATTTTCAAAACAATAGCATGCCAAGAATTCCATATGAGAGCAATCAGTAAATAAAATTAAAAACAAGAAACATTGGTAATACAACATTGTCAAGAAGTTGTAAGCTTCTAGCTAAAATTTATGTGAAAGCTAGATCTTGACTTGAACTGTGAAGCGACTATTCACTAAGTTCAACTTGTATCAGTAACAACACATAAAAAGAGTGAAAAGACCCTTTTATTCAACTTCAGTATGTACAGTTGCATTCCTGGTACTTAACAAAGCCTTGCCTGTACTTTTGGCAGCAATTCAAAATAGAAATGCAAAATTAATCCTAAATTGAATAAATCAGCTGAAGATGTACAGAGATATTTAAATGAATATATGGCTCTTGGTCCTACTACCAACGTAAACTAACCAGCATTCAATATGCACAGCCATAAAATAGCGAGCCTAAGTAGAAAAAAAAAAAAAAAAAAAGGCAGAACACAAAAGGCAGAACACACTCTGCCTAAGTAACTCAGACAACAGCTTAAGTAGTAGCTTTCTATCCTAATTTGCATAATGTATGAAACTGAAATCTCATTCTTGCAAGAAAGCTTTGGTTGAAAGCAAGAGATATAGGAAAAGTTGCTTCCAAAATAAAATTAACTGTTAATAAAATTTATTAAAACTCCACATATTTCCCCGCCAGAATTTAAATAATCGAATACAAAGGTCTAAACTAACCTTGTTGAGATTTTAAATTCTAAGTTTAAAAGCCAAATTTTACATTGGAAAACTAAATCCAAACTATTGTTTAACTATCGTATAGTTTTCTTTCAGGAACAAAAATAAATCATTTCTTTAATCAGCTGCTCTCCTTTCAGTCCTCTGGAAGGAAAGTACTTTAGTATTGCTGTTCAACATCATTCACAGTGATTCTTAATTACATCATATTTTCAAAAACAAGTCATTTGACTCCATTTAACTTCACTTTAATTCAATTTCATTTCTTCAAAGCTTAAATTTAATTCCCCCAGCACTCTTCAGAAAAGTGTTCTGTAACAATTTTTGACCATGTAGGCTTTCAAACATACTACCTTCTGAACATGAAGTGTTAAACATCTAGGCACACTAGACCTTGATAACATCTTAAGTTCAACGTGCACCTAATGTGCTAACCACGTAAGTGATTTAAAACTTTAATGTAATCTGGAGAGCCCAGCTTAAAACTTCACACATACTTGTAGCTTACTTTACAATTATTTCATTTAAATTTATCTAAGATAGCTAGCTAAACTTTTAAACATTTCTCATTCATCCTTTAACAGCTAACTTCAGACATTTTACTTTTACTATTAAAATAAAAACTTTCAGTCTTGAAACATAATATCATTGTAATAAAATATGCATATTTACAACATAATACAGTAAGAAATTTTAAATGTTCATTTGTACTTTACATCAGTCGCACATAGTTGCTGTAACAATCTTCTATAAAATTTTGCCAATAATTCCCAGTTTTGTCCTCAAAAAAATTGAGTCTTCTGGATTAAAAGCAGTAATAAATTTAAAATGTTGTGAAAACAAATTCAAAGCTATTGGCCATTAAAAAAAAAAAAAAAAAAAAAAAAAAAAACAGTAATGACCCCTCTTGAGGTAAAACCAAAATTACATAGCAACTTCTGCACATAGTATAAAATTTAACTGACTTTTCAAATTAAGAAGGGAAAAAAAAATCACTTATCCTTTTCTCTTTGAAAGTCTGACATTCTTTTTAATAAAAATTTATTCCATATTGGAATTTTCTACAATTGTTGAGATCTGAGCCTCTTTCGTGACTGATCTCCTGAGTGTGGTTGGGGATCCTTCCTTTTGTTCCTTTATCTGAGAACCTTCCTTTGATGTTGCGGGAACTGAAATTCTGGACCCTTCTTCCAGGCTTGCAGAATTCATTTCTCTGTCTCTGACCTGCATCCCTCTGGACCATTCTTCAGAATGAATTTCCTTAGTTTCCGTGGCCTCATCTGTTGTAAAGCTGTCAGTTCAGCTGGCCGCATCTGGTTTGAACTTCTGTGGGCAGGAACATCAATGGTATTTGGAACCGGCACTTGACCTTTTGCCTCTTTCCTGGCAGCTGCTTTGCTGATTTATCATTGAACTTTCCAGACTGTTCCTTCATTCATTGATTTCTTAATGCTGACTCTAGCTATTTTCACCTTTCTTGCCAGTTGTTTTCATCTTCACTTTCTTTTGATGCTGCTGTGCATTTGAAATTGCCTTTTTTTTTTTTTTCTTTTTTTTTTTTTTTTCTTGAGTGTAATCTTCTGAAGTTTCTGAAGCACTGGTTCTAGGTTCACTTCGAGTTTTTTTCAAAATCTGAGTATTGGCATATGTTTCATTGCCACACTTTGTTGGCCATAGTGGCACTCCATATTTTAATACATATTTATTTGAGAATGAATCGGAGACAGTTTTTGTGGAAGCTCATTTGAGGGGAGCTACCTCTACTCACTTAGAAAATCTGTCTGTGATAACTGGCAGGTATCTATTTTTATTTATTTGGCTTCATGGGTATGGTCCAAATAAATCAATTCTGACAAATTTATTAGGGAATGTGGTTACTTAATACTATTCAAGTAACCAGCCAGGGTGTAATTAATATTGTTAATTAGCTGACACATGGCATAACTTGCCATACACATTCACAAATTTCTGCAACTGCAGAAAACATACAGGGGTTGGACAAAAATATGGAAACACCTTTAAAAAAAATGTTTCTTTGCTTAATATGGTGTAGGAAACCCGTTGGCATCCAAAACAGCTTGCAGTCTTCTCGGAATGGATAAATACAGTTCCTGTATGTTTGCCAAGGGAATATTATACCATTCTTCCTGCAAAACAGTGGCAAGTTCAGATAACAATGTTGGCGGTGGATAACGAAAACGCACTTTCCGTTTCAATATAGACCACAAAAGTTCGATAATATTCAGGTCTGGTGACTGTGGTGGCCAGGGAAGATGGGACAACTCATCCTCGTGCTCAGAAAACCAGTCCTGGACAATGTGAGCTGTGTGAACAGGGTCTTTGTCATCTTGGAAGACACCATCACCATTGGGGAACAAAGTTTGTACCATGGGATGAACTTGATCGGCCAAAATGTTCACATAAGTCTTGGCAGTCATGTGCTCTGACACAGTTATCATGGGGCTAGCAGAGAACCACGATATGGCTGCCCCCAAACCATAACAGAACCCCCGCCATGTTTCCTCTTGGCAACAAGCAGTCTGTATTATAGGCTTGAGATGGCGTTCTCCAGACGTAAACTTGGCAGCAGAAGTGGGAAACAATGTGAAAGAAGACTCGTCAGACCATATTACTCGCTTCCACTGCCTCTATAGTCCAGGCTTTATGACTTAAACACCACCTTTTTCCTGTTACGGGCATTAGCATCACTGATGAGTGGCTTCTCAATTGCAGCACGGCCAGCAATTCCTGTTTATGAAGCTCCCTTCTAATTGTTTTGGTACTCACAGGGTTCGGTTAACACAACATTCATTTCAGCAGTAACTTTTGCCAGCTGTGGTCTTCTTATTTTTCGTCACAATTGCCCTTAATGATCGTCTGTCACGATCACTCAGGACACACTTTCGTCCGCGCTGTGATTTAGCAGATGATGTTTTTCCGCTTTTCAAATATGTGGAATAAATCTTCGATACAGTGCCTCTTGAAACACTAAACACCTCGGCTACCTTGCTTACGGAAGCACCTACCATACGTGCTCCAACAATTTACCCACATTCGAAGTCTGTTAACTCTGACATAATGCAATGACAACCTCACATAACAGTACTCCAACAACAACTGAACTGTTTAGCACATTTATGAAGTTGTATAGATGGCGTCAGTAGTCAAAAACGCCAGCACCACCTACATATTTCATTAAAATCAATCTTTCTTTTTCAAACATGCATTTCACAAGGTGTTTCCATATTTTTGTCCATCCACTGTACCTCTTCATGGGCTCTTTGAATCATCCTTTTAATGCCAAGGTGGCCGGAAAAAGTGAATCCAGCAATTCGAACAAAATACTGAGATGGCAACTAGCTGGGATAACTGGTCTTAACTCACAGTTATCATTAGTTGTTTTGGCATAGAACAATAATTTATTGGCAAATTCATAGTGTACTGCTCTATTTTCAATTGCTTCAATGTCTGAATGCTCAAAATTTTCAGGGTTATCGAGAAAAGCATAAATATTTTTAAACTCGAGGTCTGCTTTCAATTCAGAAATAACTATCTCATGAATCAATTATCTTTGAAGTCAACATAGTGCATTTCACTGTGTTTCCCTTTTTATCTAGATTTATTCTGGATAATGTATCAGCAATAGCATTTTCTTTTTCCGGAATATGCCTAATAATTAAATTATGCTCTTGCAGTTTAAGAGCCTGTCTTTGAGGTAAGTTCTTGCTTGAATGTAACTAACCGATGGCAGTATGGTCTGAATATACTGTTATTGGCATTTTTCCGAAACATTCTTGGAACTTTTGAACTGCTAATAATATAGGTAATGTTTCCCTTTTGTGCCCATACAGTTTCTTTGCTTTGGGTTAAATGTTTTGCTAAAATACAACACTGGTCGACTGTTTTGAGACAGAAGAGTGCCAGCTGCATATTCTGTTATTCATTTTGGGAGATTATCTAAAATACTGATTACAAGAAAATATATATTAGAACTTCTTGAATAAAACTGTTTCAAAGCTGAACAATTATTCTTGAATAAAACTGTTTCAAAGTAATAAAGAATAGTTGAGCTCATTATTTTTTATGTAGGCTGAATATTGTTTGGTATTATTTTCTAACATAACTGTAAAATATAGTCATTTATTATGTCATACAAATGGACTTATGTGTGCAGCTTATCATTGATATGTGGGTATGAGCTAATGATATTGCTGTTGTGTTGTAGCATAGCTTGGTTGTATGTTTGTGTAATATCACTGTGGAACCTAAATGACATTTTCTATTAACAAGAGAAAGGAAATATAATTAGATTAGCAAATATCAAAAGGAGCTGTTTTTGATTTTCATAGAAAGTATGGATCATGCAGGAATATGGTACCTTGTGAGGTCATGTGGTTTGCACCTCTTCAGGTTGAACCTGCCAGTTATTTATTCCACAGTTCTCATGTATTGTTGAAGTAAACACAAAATGCTTTATAGTTATGTTTTCATGATCCATTTTTGTAGTGTTGCCATATTCAGAAATTATTGTATAACTTAAACGATGATTACTCAGTACCTGATACTGTATTTTAAAACTTATAAAAGTCTTCTGTAAGATCAATATTTATGGCATGTTTTCATAAGGATCCCAGCACCCTTTATGTAGGTGAATCAGACTCATAGCTAAAGTTTTCAGCACTCGGGGACAACTGAGGATTTTGCACACCCTTCTGTTTGCAGGAATGAAAAATATTTAATTCTAAAATTTCATAACATCAGTTTGGCACTTTCTGGAAGCTGCACCTGGTGACAGATGTTCCACCTTGCCCCCCCCTCTAGCTATGCCTCTGAGGTTAATCAATGTGTGAAAACATATGCAAAAGTGCCCTGCCACAAATATGCTATAATGATCAGTTTTTAACTGAATGGGAAACATCCTTCATAATAATGCCAGCACCTAGCAACTAGGTTTATAGTTCATTACTTTGGTGAATAAAACAAGTGAAAATCCTACTTGCATAAGAATACAAATACTTACAATATAAAAAAGTATTTTTCAAAGTTAAAAAAATAATCTTCATAAAGAGTGGGGTACTTTTATGTGGAAATATTTGTGTAAAGGTTTCTGTTTTGGTGTAACCTATCATTATGCATTTAGGATTTTTATTTGCTTTATTAATCAAAGTAGCAACTGAAACTCTACTTTCCTTACCCTACTTTTATTACTACTACTACTAACTACTAAGTGTTAATTTTGATCTGGCCTTTCAAGATTTGAAATCTGTTATTTTAATTATTATATTCTTGTTAATATTTTATCCTTGTAGTTCTAGTTTATTGATATTTAATATTATGTCCTGTGTTTTTAAAATATCTTTTTTTATATTTGTGTAGGCTATATGAAAAATTTTATGTCAGCTGTTTCATTTTCCACTGTTCATAAGCATAAAGTAGTTTTAAACCCATCTACTTCATATAAAAGGCACAAGAAGAAACTGAATATAAAGCCATATGAAGATTTATTAAGAGGTATTCAATATGCACCAGAATTATAAAGCTTTTTCTGTATTTGTATGAGACTTTGTTATTTTAAATTAAAAAATTTTTAATCTTTTGTAACACGTAAATATACAGGTGCCACTTAATGTGATCTTGTGTGTCTACAACTGTTTTGTTAACATTAAGCGATGAGAGTAAAAAGTATTCTTCAAAATATCAGTGGAATATAACTAATTTTCACAGGGGTAGAATCATATGGATTGTCTGCAATTGTTATGCAAAAATTCATGTGGCAAATTCACTGATTTAATTCTAGAGTCATTAGGTTATTTCGAAGCAGGAGATGAAAAATGAGCAATGCCTTCACTGGGACTTGAACCTCAAACCTCTTGAATATGTGCCGAGTGTGCTGGCCATTACACCACGAAGGCATGCTAAGAAGGTGGGAGAAATGTTTTATATATTCCCCCTTTTAAAGGTCGACTGGGAATTAGGGGACCCAATTGCCAAATCCAAGTGGTAACGAATCATCATCCACCACCTTTTTTACGTAGCGTTTCATTCTAGTCCCGCGCATGCGCACTAGTCTTTTTGTTCACTGACTTTCAATTGTCGCCATTTTGGTTGCTCTATGTTGTGTTTTCAGTTTGCTGTGCACATTCAAAATGTTTAAGACAATTAGTTCTCCCGCTGACTGTGAGATTCGTGCCGTGATTAAATTTTTGAACGCGAGGAATGTTAAACCGAAGTGACAGAAGTTTACGGTGAATACGCGATAAGTGATGGAATGGTGAGAAAGTGGGTAAGAATGTTTAATGCAGGTCGAACAAATGTCCACGCCGAGGCTCGGAGTGGTCGGCCTTCTGTTGTCACCGATGATTTGGTAAGGAAAGTTGATGAAGCAATTCATGAGAACAGACGCTTCACAATGACAACTCTTTCAGAGGCATTTCCACAAATTTCACGTACTGTTTTGTTCGAAATTGTGTCTGACCGCTTGAATTATCGCAAACTGTGTTCCCGATGGGTTCCAAAAATGCTCACTGATGTTCACAAAACAAAGCGACTTGGTAGTGCCCTGACATTTCTCACGCGGTACAGTGATGAGGGAGAAAACTTTTTAAACCAAATTGTGACAGGTGATGAAACTTGGGTGTGTCATTTCACACCAGAATCGAAACAACAATCGATGGAGTGGAGACACACTCATTCTCCGAAAAAACAAAAGTTCAAAGTGACAATGTCATCACAAAAAATCATGTGCACTGTCTTCTGGGATAGGAAAAGGCGTTTTGCTTACTGAATTTCTTCCCAGAGGTGAAACCATTAATGCGGCACGATATTGTGAGACTTTAACAAAACTAAGGCGTGCCATTCAAAACAAACGAAGAGGAATGCTCAGTAAAGGAATTGTGTTGCTCCATGACAATGCTCGGCCCCATACTGCTGGTGTCACTCAATCGTTAATTCGACAGTTTCATTGGGAGCAGTTCGATCACATGCCACGCAGCCTGGACTTGGCGCCGTCCGACTATCATTTGTTCCTGCACATGGAGCGCGAGCTTGGTGGCAAGCGCTTTGGATCTGACGATGACACGAAAATGCTGTGGAGTCGTGGTTATCGAAACTGGCGGGAAGTTTCTTTGACGATGGAATACAAAAACTGGTCACCCGCTATGACAAGCATTTGATCATTGGCGGAAACTATGTTGAAAAATAGTTTAAGATGTGTATTTTCATGTAAAAATAAAATTGGATTCGAAAAAATTGTTTTACTATTTTTTTTTTTTTTCCAAAATGGTACTTAGTTTCCGAATACGCCTCGTAGTTTGGGCACCACTTATAGAGTCTTTAGGTTGTTTTGAAGCAGAAGACATGAAAAATGAGCAGTGCCCTTGCAAGGACTCGTACCTCTCGAATATGTGTTGAGTGAGCCATTACACCATGAAGGCATGCTAAGAGAAGGCTTGAGAAATATATATCATCATGAGCTTCTTCAGGAAATTTATCACTTAATGTGTCTAGATTTATTTCAGAAAGTGTCTGGTTTGTCATTAATCCCATAGTTTATACGTTTTCATCAATTTCTACCCAAGCCTCAAATTTTTCATAAATTATATTAGTTGGGAGATATTACTTTTTCTTCTTCAACTAAATCTGTTTTAAAAGGTTGGCATGCTCAATGCAGTTCTTCATTGGCTTTTCTTAAAAGCAATTAAGATATGTTCAGCAAATGCAGCACATTAAGAAAATTAGTTTTCCTGGATAATTCGTTTGCACTTAAATCAGTATCATCTGTGTTATTAAGGTCTCTCTCATTTCACAGTAATGATACTCTTTCGTTGCTCTAATAAACCCTTGATCATATGACTGAATTATGGCTGTGATATTTGCTGGTAAATATGCAGTCTGAATGTACTTAAGAAAGACATTAACATTATATACTGCACGACTGATTGTCTGGAAGCAGGAGGATATCATTCTTCAGTTCATTATCTCAGTTCCAAAACTATTCACAGAAATTTACTCATGTCATCCATGTCTTTGAATTATACTTGTAATCCACTATTAAACTCTTTATTCTTTTAAAGCATCAGGAATTTTTCTTTTTCTCTGATTACTACAAGTTTTCTCTTTTTGCTACACCTGTTGACACAGCATGAAGCAGTCACATAATCTATCGGATATTTTACATCATTTTGAACTTTTAATTTTAAATAGATTATGTGTGTAAGGCAAAGCTAGATAATATAGGTCTATTTTGTCTGCATTATAAATGTTTTCAGGACAGTTTTTTGTAGACAATATAGGCCCTTTATGTAACAATGTGTTCGTTCAAAGAGTAAATCAGCATCTTGTTCTTCACAAGGAATGCTTTACAAATAACAGTTTCTTTTTTATCCTTTGGCTAAACCATCCATCTGCTGCTCCAAAATCATTTTTACTAATTTTTACAGCTAATCCTTCAGCCTTTCTCCTGCATCAAAGCACCACTAACTGTCACATCATTTTCACAAATCTTCGGTTCTTTCTCTACACTCTGATTATCATGTTTTCCTTTCAGTTTTGCTTTAATTTGAAAATACTGTCTTCATGATTCGTCAAAATATTGCATAAAAGAAAGTGAGAAAACTTAGCAACTTTTCTTTGATTAGGTGATATTTCGGCAATTCGATAACAATATGTGAATAATAATATTAACTATCACACATTAAGCATTGCCTACTGTATGTTTTAAATTAGATTTCTGTAATACCATATTTAAGACTTCCATTATGATCTGTATAATCTGTTGTTGAGATTTTAAATCTGAAATTTTTATGAAAGTAAAGAAGTAAAATATTTGTTTAAAATGTGTTGTAAACGTTTTCTTTTGCCAAAATTGCAATATGGCATCTTAAGTTGTTTGTAAATATATTTTAAAATTTGGGTATTTAGATGATGATTAAAAACAGTGCAGTGAAGTTAAGAATGATGATATTATTGCTATAAATTGATGATCTTATTTTATGGCTATTTTTTTTTAATATAGCTTTAATGTCTAGTACTGTGAGTTAGTATTTAAAACTCTCTCTCTTAATTTTATTTAATACCTTATTTAAAAAAATAAAATAAAATTAACTTGCATAATGTAAAGAAATGAATTAAATTTATATATATATTTAAGTTTATATACATGTGTGCATACTTCTTTTCTTTTATTTGAGTGTTGGAAGTCCATGAATGTAACCTGGAAATTGAAGGCATACTCTCAGAGAAACATAATTCTGAATGTGAACAAAGGGATTATGAAAGAGTGATTTCACAAGAACTGCCACAATCTTTAGAAGCAAAATGTGATAAATTATCAGGTAATCATCGGGATTTCATAAATGATGAGGGAATTTTTACTGTTAAGTATTCCTTTCCAAATAAGGGAAAGAAAAAGGCAAAGAAAATATCTGAAAAAAACCAAACAGAATATATTCTTGATGGAAAGCTAAAAAAGCAAAGTTCAAAGAAAACTACAACTAAAGAAAAAGAGCTGACAAAAGTTAAACAAACTTGTAAAAAGGAAAGTCTGAAGAAAGCTCTGAAGGATGCACATGCAATGCATGCCTTGAAGTCTTATATCGAAATTTGTATAAATGTTGATCAGGTATGAATTGGCTCTGTATTTACTATATTTTTCTCACTGCAGTATGTATAATTTAATCATCATTAAAAAAATCCACTTTTGATTTTTTATAATTGCCCTGGGAAGCTGAAGATGACTAATCCAATGGTACTTACCCATTAGTAACATCCCTAAGAGAATGCTAAAATGCTGTCCATGATTAATTTTTCTATTTTTTGGTTTTATTTCTTTTGCTAAGTGATGCTAAAACTTGTTTTTATGCATATAAAATAATATAACTATAAAAAAATAAACATTTTTTCTGTTAATATCACCATTTTCACTCTTCTCTTACCAATTTTATGTAATTTCCTTTTGCTTACTAGTTAATACTGTAACCCTAGTAATGGTAACATCCCAATCTCACTAAATAAAGTGCACATTAAAATGAAAAGCAATGTTATTAAAAGCTTGAAAAGAATTGCAATTGTATCAGTTTATTTAAATCTGCTATGCTATTTATAAAATATATTATGAGCAAATGGTAAAAAATATAGCTATAAAGATTTATTGTAAAATAAACATTGTTATAGATTACTGGATAAAAGTATATTTATGGGTACTCCTTGGCGAAACTTGCTGATTTTTGGCGGTACATGGATACCGAATTTGTGCAATTCTTTGACTTGCTATTCTGGCTTATGTAGCGGTGATTTTTGCGCCAAAAATCGACACTACACAGAGCCAAAATAGCAAGACAAAAAATTTCACAAACTCGGTATCCATGTACACATTGACCTATTTTCACTTTAAAAAAAAATCCTAGAATTGTACAAAAATGGCACATTGCACACTCCCTTGACTTTATCCATGTACACATCAACCTATTTTCACTCAAAAATCAGAGAATTGCACAAACTAGGCTTTGCGTACTTCTTTGACTTTGTCCATGTTCACATCAAACTATATTCACTTAAAAAATGAAAGGAGCAGCCAACAAAAAAATGTATAATCTTAATAAATTACATTTTAAATCAGACAATGAAATAACATAAAAAAGGAAATTCATCTTTTCACTACTCAAAGGAAATATCCTCTTACCTTATTTACGAATTAACACATCTTCAGTCAAACAAAATTCCTTAACAGCATCCAAAAACTTCCTAAAATTATCTAAACTAGAATCTGTATACTGGTGTCGCCACATAAATTCACAAAATAAGAGTAAAAAATATCCTCCATAATAACATTCGACCATATGCATTTCCGACGTTCGACCATACGCATCTCGTTCCGGCAAACAGTACACCTAAACAGGCTACCAAGTAAACCTTCATTTACACACTAGTCAAGCAATGCTTTTTTTTCAAATTAATCTTACCACATTTGGCCATTTTACCATCTAAACCACAAAATAAGCAATATACTTCCTAACCAACACACACACCAGAAGCCTTACGAATTTACCGCAATCATGCTACCGATTATGTCATAATAGGGTTTCCATAACATTCAACTACTTATAGGCTACCGTAAATGAAACAACAACTTGGCTATAAATAAAACAACAACTTTGCGATAATACAAGGTGTATTCTTCTCTCTACTCTAACTGATTACTGTTTTACGTATGATATCATTAAAGAATATACAATGTAAGAGGCTGAAATTATTTTCCCACAGTGATTATTATTTCAACAAAATGAATTTTCTTACTAGATTCAACTTGTTGTTGCACTATGTCTTCTGAGAAAACTATCTAAGTGTTGATGGTCTAGTTCCCAAAGTTTTTTATTCTTCTGTTTCATTAAATCCTATATTCTTTCAATTTATTGGGTATCATCATCCAGATCTGGATTGCCCAAATTGTATTAGTACTTATATATTAGGCAATACCTTTTGGTACAATGCCAACAATTTATTGCTGTCTTTTGGCTATTATATTTTCAGTGTTAGGAGATCAATGTTTTTTGATTTCCAGCAGATATTTTTTGTTAATTGCATTCAACAATGCATCAGATTTTTATACTCCCCAGTTTATTTCTGCTATATGAACTTAACTAAATAAGAAATCAACTTTTCTCGTACCAGTTCTTAGTTCATATTTCTAACATTCTGTTGGCTGTTGATGACATTACATTTTCATCATATAGTTCTTGTTACATAGCTTCATTGCATAAGTATTTGAATGTTTGTGATTTGGAAGCAAAATATCATATGCTTAGAAACAATGGATTACTTCTGTATCATTTCTAAGCAGATCTAATAAATGTATAGTGCAAAATGCAGTAAACATTAATGCTATGCAAACAAACATTGTTCTAAGAATTTTTCATATAGTGTGAATTACTGTTAACGGGATGCAATGCAAATATGCACTTGAAAATCTGTAGAGTAGCTGAACACTTATGGGAATCGGAGTCAAGGGAACATTTTTGGCACTGTATGGATAATGCACATGTACACGCTGAAAAAAAAGAAAGGAACAGTTCTATATCTCCTGTTCTACTGCACTAATTGGCGACATTTTATTTGCATTTTTTGTGTCTTGAAAATACAACATAATATATATATATTAAATTTATATGTAGTATTGTTTTAACATAAGTATTTTGACACAAAATCTGTCTTTTTCTGATATGACATATTGATTTTTTCTTGAGTTTTGATTCTACAACTCAAATTATGCTCAAATATTAAATTTTGTAAAGTTTGTTGAGAAACTGAGAACTTAAAAAAAATTATCTTGGCACACTTTTTTTCAGTGTGTGCCAACAATAATTTGCTTGGTGAAATTGTTAATTTATTGTAACCTATTCCCCCGTCTTTTCATTGTGCATGAGCAGAAAAATAGTGCATCGTTCATTCTTTCAAATAATTTTAGCAAAGTATGTAGGCCCATTTCATGTTCTTATCGCTTATAACAAATTTGTCAAATTTAAAAATAAATAAATTCCAAAGATATACGTGAATTTATATATTTAAATTCGCATATATCTTTGGCAAGAAGTATATCTACAGATTTTATAGGTAATGTCTTAAAATTTGTTCAAAAAATTTATAAAAATTACTAAAAAAATACAAATTTTAAAACTAAATCAGGAAATATGTATCTATGAATTTTATTTGGATTGAACCTAAGTTTTCAACTGCAAAAGAAAGAATTAAGTAAATGTAATAAAAAAAATATTAATAAATGTATACCAAATTCAATTAACATTGAGAAGCTGAAATTTTGAGAGCTAATTTTTTTAAAACTACTTTTGCATTTTTTACAAAACTTGACACAGTAGCATAATTTGGATTGTATAATTGAAATATGGAAAAAAATAGGTATGTCATTTCAGAGAAAGTCCAGTTTTGTGTCAAAATGCCTATTGTTTGAACAATGCTATATATAAATCTAATATATGTCTGAAGTTATGCTTTTGAGACATGAGAAACTCTAGTTAAATTTCATCAGTCAGTATAGAGCATAGAATAGTAGTATAGGAGGTATAAAATTGTCTTTTTTTTTTTTTTCTTATGCAAAGTGTATCATTTTATTTACAATTCACTTTGAAAAGTTTCAGAGTTCAGAACATGAAGTTTACTCCATTTTGTAGTCTTGATAGACTGAACATTTTTTGGTAAGATTATCTTTAACTATCATAAGTAATTTTGCTGTTTTGTGATCCTGCATTTGAGTTAAAAACTTCCTGTTTATCCCTCACACACCACTGAAAATTTTGTGATAAAATTCCTAATTCCTATTCTTATTCTTTCTTTCCTTGAGTAAATCATCTGCTGTAATAATATACCATATAGTGCTTCCTATTTTGTTATTCAACTTTTCTTTTAACATTAACACATGCTCACCTCCATCCATGCTTGTGCAATGATACATTTAATTAAGCTTGTATAATTCTGTGCTTGATATTTCCTTATTCCATTAAAAATTAAATTTCATTGTGTTGAAAGAATGTATTCCTTTAAGAACTACTTTTTGAAAATTTCACTGCCTATCCATGCACTTTTCTGACACGATCGTTTTTACTTCCTTGTACGAAGTAAAAAGGAAGTATTGTAGTCGCGAAAAGTTTCAGGCAGCATATTTCAACGAAAATATCCATTTTGACTGCTATCGAATGCAATTTAACGATGTTTTTGCGTGATATCTGTATGCAAGAACAGAATAAAAGACTCGTTTCTTCCAAAAAAATTATAAAACTGCTTTAAAATTAATTCTAAAGAGAATTTTTTGTGGCGTCTGTACGAATGTATGTACGTATGTATCTCGCATAGCTCAAAAACGAGTAGCCTCAGAACGTTGAAATTTTGTATATAGGACTACTATAACATATAGATGTGCACCTCGTATTTTGGTTGCAATCGGCCGCACCAAACATATATAAATATATTTATATATATATACCCACTCTGTTACCCGGCTCGGTGATCTCAGTTTCTTTACTCTTATATGTTTATAAATTTACATTTTTTGCTTTAAAAATGATTGAATTATGTTGTTTTTATCTTCCGGTTAAGGTTTTTATGCCTTTAGTAAATCTGTATACAATATTTTTAGAATTATCAACAATTTTAAAGTTGTTTAAGTGCCGCTAAGCCTTTTATTTTTTTATGGCGGAATTTGATTGTTTACATTTGAAACAGCAGACTAGTGGATTTGTTGCCAATCTAGAGAAACTTAGCTTCGCAACAACAAAGATAACGCCTTCATTTATTATTGAGTATTAAATCATGCTTAATCCTTTCTGGAATTTTTTTGAGGAAATAAATGTTTAAGATTTACTTCGTAATTTTGAATATAGATATTTTGAGTTTTTATGTATTTTTTGCCTTCTCGCAAAGTGAGAACTGAATTAATTGAATGAGAAATATTCAATCGTCTGTGAAAAACTGTTTCTTTTTTGCTTTGTTTGCTTAATTTCTTTTATACATCATTATAGCTTTATTATAGTATTTGAATAGAACGTGTGGCAATGATTAGGTAATTCTATTCTTTAAATGATATAAATTTTGTGCATTATATGAGTTATAATGTGAATGAAATATAATACTGTTAAGTGAATCTAGTGCCAGAGTGTCGCTATGGTAAACAAATACTAGAGTGAATTTTAAGGAATGCATTATATGTATTCTTTAAAATTCACTCTAGTATATTGTGGAATTGTATTGTGGTTTATGCGCTGTCGGCAAAGTAGATTTAATTCAATCCAATAAGTTTAAGTGAAATGCAAGAAAAAATGCATATAATTTAATATTCCGTACAAGGAAATCATGTGTTGTACACATCAGATTTTTTTAAATTGTTTTAAAGGCTGTAGGATTTTGGTACTTTCCAGCCAATACAAGGCCCATTTTGAGGTTTTCTATATCATTGTTGCTTGCTAAAATTGCCAGCTTTTTCATACTACACCTATAGCCAAGGGGCCTTCTTATTTTGTTCTGGTTGAAAGACTTTTACTAGATAATTAGGCCTTGACTCATCACAATTAAATATCTGATGAAGCGGTAGTTTCAATTAATTTCTGAAATGTTTTCTTGAATACCTTCATTTCTTCAAAATTCAATGATAACTACAAGCACTCAGCTGATGGATACCATAGTGCTTTTCCATTGGTCGAGCCAACATGTACATGCTACGGAATCTGGTTCCCCTTCATTGAAATAATTAGGAAAAAGAATACATTTTGCTTTGACTAAGCACATCTTTATCCCTGAAGTGTCTAAATCATACATTCACTCACTAGCTTCACTCACCTTTTTAGTAGTCACATTTTTTCTTAGTTTTTCTTTCAATTAATGTGCACTCCATACCTTTTGATGCACACTATTTTTCTACTTCTATTCATTTCCTTTTCCAGCCTCCTACTGTTACGCATCCAAAGTCATTAGTTATCATCTTCATTTTCTCTCCTTTGTCCAATCTCTTGATTATCTCAAGTTTTTGTAACCTTGATATAACTTTCTTTCTTTTTGTTGCCATTCTTTCTGTACTTAACATAAATTTCAACTTTTAAACACTACAACAATGTTTCTCAAATTAGGCAGACCATATACAGATACATAAGCATGAACAGTAACAGATCATAAACTGATCTGCATACAGTGATAGTGCCACATTACAGGAGCAACAACAACATCCTAAAAGAAAGACTATGTTCACAACTTGCTGTTCTTGTTGCTGAATTATGCTTTATTATTATAATTATTATTATTATTATTATTATTTGCAATTGTATGTCGGATAAGCAAGATTCTACTATATTAACCTGTCCTTAAATCTGACATTATTCCAAGGGTCTTCATAAAGATACTTGATCTTAATTTTCTAAGATCTTGAGACAGAGAAACAAAAAAAACTTTTAGCTTCAGATAATAAAAATTGCTGCATAATAATCAGATACTAATAAGATATTGCTGCATTTGTCTTCAAGAATTATATTTGCTAATTCAACCCAAATTTAGAACTTTTTTATAAGTACTATAATCTTTATTTGAAGTGCAATGGTGTTGATTTCATTCCCTATTCAGTTGATAATTCTACTGTATAAAATTATAAATCTTATAAAAGATCCCTGATATAATTAGTTTTTATATATGACTGATATCAGTAAATATTGCTGATATGTTATTGATTACTGCAATATTTGTTTCATATATAGTAGCATTTTATAAAGTGTTCTTTGCAATAGAAAAGTATTCGTGCCATAATCTAATGTTTTGTCTTGCATTTTGTATGACACATAGAAATCAGAGAAGAGAAAATTCAAACACATATTATAAATTAAATTTTTTGTAATATCTGAAGCCGTTACATAGGATAACTTTTTTAGGGAATCATTTTAGAAAATAGTGATAAAGGAGATGTATTCCAAAAATATTTAAAAACTAATGTTAGTAAATATTTTAAGATGCAGATCATTGATATTAGTTTAGTTTAATAATTGAATTTTTCTCAACTTTTTTTTAAATTTTGCTTATATGAATTCATTATTTTATATTTAAAAAAATGTAATATTTCAAATTTCTTGAAAATGTGCAGATTGAGAAGGCTCAGCAAATATATGAATATTATCGACAGAAAAGCAAATTAAAAGATAGTACCAAGCTTCATGATGATATTGAAATATATAATTCACTGATTGTTGGATGGGCACAAAAAGTAAGTTTTGAAATATGCGAGTTCTTTTTCCCGCTTCATGTTAGATCTTATTTTTCTTTTATGTATTATATGATAGTTATGTGTTTTCTAATATGCATATGAATTCTCTTTAATAAGTGAAATTAAATTAATTATACTAAATTAATGAAGTCCACATAATTTCATGCCAACTGCAGATGTCTAAATGAGATTACGAAGAGAGATATTTATCTCTGCCTTAAACTGATGACACCTTAGACACACTAGCAGGAAACAAATGGGTTTGGGGATATAAAAAGCTACTACCAGCAAGTGGAAATGAGCCCTCAGGATCAAGGGGAAAAAAAAGCATTAATATGATGCCTTTTGGACTGTGCAAGGTGCCAGTGACATTTGAATATCTAATGGAGACAGTTCTAAAAGAACTTCCATACAAAGCATGTCTTGTGTATCTTCACAACATTAATGTTGTGGGACGCAGTTTTGAACAAGTTATGGAAAATATACAGACAGTACTGTAGAAGCTCACAAAAAATAATTTAAAACCTAGTCCTTTAAAATGTAAATTATTATTATTATTATTATTATTATTATTATTATTATTTCGAGAAGTTAATTATCTTTGTCATATTATCACTGTCACAGTTGGCAGATGACAGAGACACCATCATTCTACGAAGAGATTAGGTGGTATTGACTTGCGTTCTTGTATATCTAATGTAAGGAGATACATCAAAATCTTTAAGATATTGTTGCCATTGTGGCTCAGGACATAATTTACATAATTATTACTTTATTGTTGTTTTACATTGTTGTTTATCTTTTATATTTTTATGCCAAATTAAACGTAGTGCTCAAATTGCATTTTTTCCAAGTAATCAACCTCTAAGTTTACAGCTATTCTAGCAATGTATTTGTTGCTGTTGGGGCAGTTTTTCTACATTTCAGCTATCTATTGTATAACTGTTTATCAGCCATGTATTCTGTAAATATTTATCTATCAGAGTTGGGAGGGGGAGGCTAAAACAAGGGGAAGCAGAGCCAAAGATGTTTGAGATAGGAGAAACAGACTGTGAGGATAGATACATTATTCTATTGGATATATTATTCTGGGATTGTTTTTAACAATATGTGGCTTTAGGCAGCCCATGACTACAGTTATCAAACTGTACTGCAACAGAAAAGTACTTTTATCATTATTCACAATAAGAATCATATATGTTAGTACTGTATCTATAATTTGTTGTCATAGATGCAATAATTGTAATCATGAATTTTCTTATATATGTGTAAAATTTGTAAGTAATAATTTATTGTTTGTAGTATCCTTGTAGCATTTTTGAGGTAAAACAATAAAATATTGATGTAACTTAGAATGAAAAGTTTATTTTAATATCTTTCTGTGGAAATTATGTCCGACATATTTTTGCCAAAAATAAGTATGTATGTTCACAGCATAACAAACACCGTAAAAATTTACAAATTTAATTTATAAAAATTGTTATCTTTTTTTCAACTTAATTAAGATTTAAATAGTTCAGTATTATTTTTTACTACATTAGGGAACCTGTTAAAAGGATATTTGTATTTTTGGTCTTTAAATGAAAAATTGCTTAGAAAGGGATTAAAATTACAAATATGTAGTAGATTTAAAAGTGAAGATATAACTTTAATGGAATTTTTTCAAAGCAGACATATTAGTTATCATGCTGCATGATCTTTGAATGATGTAATGTACTTAACATTACATTTGAGAAATGTGATATATTTAAAATTACTTTTTTTTTTTTTTTTTGTCTATTATACAGTACAAAGTCTTTAATCCGGACTCGTCGGGACTTCGGCGATTCCGGATGAGGGGTTTTCCCGCATTATAGATCATCAATTTAAATCTGGTAAGATGGTATGCAGAAGTTATAAAATTAAAAATATGAAACTGTAATTTATGAAATAAAGAGCAATTATGATCTAAAGGGTATCAAAATTTACCAAAAAAAAAAAAAAAAAGCGGTACTATTCGGTTTCGAGGGCCGTAAAAAATCTCCAAACTATTGTTGATGCCAATGCTGCCAAAAATAATTGCGGCAAGAAAGGAAGTATAATAGTAAATAACTATTTAAGATTGATGTTTTAATTTAGGTGAAAAGTTAATTTCATATAATACATTTTAATTTTTATAATTTATATGAAAAAGGCTAAACATGACTGAATGGAAGCATAAGTGTAAATAACTATTTCAGATCATTATTGTAATTTATATGAAAATTGCTAAAAATAACTGAAGAGATGCCTGCATCGCTATTTTGCTACCAACTTATCGCTAAAGGATAATTTCATCTCGTTGGTTGTTCAAACGTAATTTTCTATAATGAATGATGCCTTTTCTTTGAAAATATTCAGAATCGGAATTCAAAAGTGCAGAATCGCTCACTTATTTGTTTGCCGCTTTTTACAAGGGTAAAAACAATTGGATTTTTGTCAATTTTATTTTACTTTTTAAATGAAAATAGATCGATGTGTACATAGATAAAGTCAAGGGGGTGCGCAGTGCCATTTTTGTGCATTTCTGAAATTTTTTTTAAAGCAAAAATAGGTCGATGTGCACATGGATACCGAGTATGTGCAATTCTTAAAAACGCGTCAAGCAGTGTGTGATTCTGCACTTTATCCAAAATTCTATTGCCGACTTTTCATCATGGGCAATTCCCAAATTGTTAAATCCATAGGATATCAAAAAAGGATTTAAAAATGAAACTAGTATTTCAATGGCCTCTTAAGAAATATAGAACTATATAAACTTAAGAAATATAGAACTATATAAACTTACGCAATCTGAAACCAGCGCGTACGCTAGATTTGGCACGCTGTTAAATGGGTGCGTTTGCTAGATTTGGCGCTTTTGTGCGTACATTTTCGCTGCAATTTTATTTTGGCCCTCGAATTCGAATAGTACCAAAAAAGCTTAATATTTATTTGTTTACTTTATTAAACATTTCTTTCAATGTAAGTTGTTTAAGTTGCTTCGTTTTATGTGCTAATACTTTCTCTTTAATTCTATAAACAGACATAATTTCTTGTTCAAAGTTCCTCTGTTCAAGTCCTGTAATTGCTGTGCCGAGAATCCCAACTAACTTGTCAATCGAAATTTTTTCATTTTCACTAACCTCTCTGTTATTTTCTTCATGCACTCATCCATTTTTTTGCAGCAATTCCACTTTTTGTTTGATGGACATCAAAACATGCTTTTGCTTTGTAGATCTTTTGGCAGCTCCAGATTCGGAAACTCTTTTTGACATAATCGAAAGTTCAAGCTTACTTTTTTATAAAATTGCTCTAACAGTCTGCAAAAAATAATAAGCCGGATCCAATTAGAAGATTAAGGAACAACGCAATCTGCAACATTAACTAAAATAGATAATTAGTTAATTTTAGCCTAGCTTATACCATCCGTTATACATTAAATGCACATGCGTAAACATATTATGTGCATGCGTAAAGGTATTATGTGCATGCTTAAATGCATATTTACGCATACGCAGAAAGTTTGTAGCTTTGAGTTCCAGATTATGGATGTCCGGATTAAAGACTTTGTTCTGTGTTACATGTTTTCTTGTATCTCTGAAATTTTTATTGCTGTTCCTAACAAGTCAGTGTGTTGGTAAAAATCTGCATGTAGTATGACTTTGCCTTTCATAAGAAGAAATTTTTCAGACCAAATGTTTAATATAAAGTCTTATGAATTAAGAGGTATAATATTTAATGAATTATAACATTTTATTAATTAAGAGGTGTTATGTATTAAAATAAAAATTAATAATATAATTTAAGCTATATAATATCATTTAAAATTTTACATCCATTTCATTATGAGAGAGTACAAATCAGTGAATTATGCAATTTCAACAAAGACTTCCATTTTAATGAAAGGTAACATTGACAATCTGATCTTTGTATTATATATTAAAAGTTTAATAATAAGAGGTATGACATTAAAATTTTATAAAATTTGACTAATATTTTTTGTTTGCACGTTAAACATTGGATTTTGCATAATTGCTATTAAATTTGTATTGAAAATCCCAAAGAAAGTCCTTTAATGTATATAACAGGCTAATGTGAAAGTTTCAGTTTATTTTAAAGAAAAATGTACTTCCATCAATTGAAAACAAAGCACAGTAGGGAAATTAATCTCTTTGAATATTAATGGAAGGCGTAAAGGGTGTAAATATCTAATATTTAATTTTTGCTATGTTATATTTGAGTTTTGAGCATATTCCAGAAGAATATAAAAATTCAGCTATATGAAGAAGTTTAGTCTCTAAACCGATATTTTGGTTAGCGACACTGAATGCCATACCAAAGAGGTTCCAGGTTCAAATCCCAGAGAAGAAATGGATGTTTTGTAATATCTTGCTATTTAATAAATAACTATATTTATTATTGAAGTGGCAATGCCATATTTGTATTATGTAACCCTTGTTAAGCAACGTGAGAAATTGTTTTAAAATTAGAATTCTGAAGTTTTTACCAGCTATTAGTAGTATGAAAGTTTTGCCACTAAAGAATTTCTTCAAATTATCTATCTCCGTGAACTAGAAATAAAATTTATGTTCTACTAAGAAGATTGCCTGTTTTGTTAATTACTGCAAAATACATTACAGTCTTAATTAATTAGAGGTTCCACCGAGATACTGAAAATTAGGAGTGCAATTATCAATTTCGATGGTGCTGGTCTCCTAATCCCAGAAATTTGCTGAAATTTTGAGAACAAGTTTGCTAGTATCAATTGCCGAGTTTGTTCATTTAAAGGAGAAAACGGATCTCAGAAGTCTGCAGTTTTAAAGCCAGTTTTTGAAGCAGATCATTTGAAGGTTATCTTCTGTGTTTCTACAACTTGCGTCCGAGAAAGAATTATCAGAATAAGATATTGTTGATCTCTAAAAATAAGATTAACTTTTGGTTTTCATAAAACAGTATTTATTGAATTTTAGTATTTCATTTCAGAATTATATTTAAATAGTAAAAGTTTCTGTGTAAAATAACTAATACTAAAACTATTAGGAGTAATTTATAATTGATATTTGTGGTAGATTTTTATTTTAAATTGTTATTTAGCCTTTACTGTTATTTGCATTAAATTTTTTTGTTGATAATTTATATATGTACGTCATCCCGGCATTTATAAAAAAATGAACTGCTAGCTGAGTTTTTGAATTTGTTGCCAAGCAGGTGTGTGGAAAATAAGTAGTAATGTCAAACTGACGTAGTGTGATTTGATTATACTGCAGAATTGGCAAAAGATTTTTCTTAGTTCTCGCCATCTAGGCGTATAGTAGATAGTAATGTCATCCTGACGTATTACAGATTGTATATTGTAAAAATTGTTTTTGTTATCACCAACCAGGCGTGAAGATAGATAGTAAAATCATCAAACTGACGTGTGTAAAATTCCATTGTATTGCCTAATTGTCAATGGTGTTTATATAGTTATATAGCTAACGAGGCTTGTGAATAGTGAGTTAAAACTTCAACCCGACGTAGCATTATATTATTTTGTACCAACCTGGCAAAGTTGTTTAAATAATTCTCTCCAATTGGTTAGTGTGAATTTCGTGTTTGAGAAATTAAGTCTTGCCAGAAATTATACATTTTTAATACAAATACGATCTTTTAGATTAAATTTCAAAAGGAAGCCTAATAAAGGTAACTTGTGTCAACATGTCATTCTTAGCTAGGAGTAAAAAACAGGATTTAAAAGTACTAGCAAAAGAGTTAGGTTTAACCTTGAAACCTGAATTTAAGATTGTTCAGTGCATAAACTGATTTCTGAAAGTCCCGGTTATGATGAGGAGTTTACTAGAGAACTACTGGCTGCAATTAGAGAAGAAAGGGAAAGAAAAGAAGAATGCGAAAGAGAAGAAAGAGAAAGGGAATGCGAAAGAGAAAAAAGAGAAAGAAGAGAAGAACGCGAAAGGGAAAGAAAAGAAGAGCATGAAAGAGAAGCACCAATTAGAGCCTTTGAGCTACAGAAACTTCAGCTGGAAGCAATGGCTGCAACAGCACAGCTCATAGAAACTATGCAGTTACCTGAGCAGCCTAAAAAATCAGAATTCACGATGTCATACCACGTTTCAACACTAAAGAAGATGAAATAAGTTTATTTCTGGTGTTATTTGAGCGTCAAGCTAAAATAATAAATATACCAGCTGAAAATCAAGTGACTCAACTTATTTTATTGCTGCTTCCTGACATTGTTCAGCTTATTGCTAAAGAAACAGAAGAGGATGTGAAAAAGTATGAACATTTAAAAACTTTATTGTTACTACGATTTAAATTGAGTGTGGAAAAATTTCGACGACTATTTAATAAACACCAAAAATCACTGAAAGTACTTGGTATGATTTCTACTATGAATTAAAGAATTATTTAGAAGGATGGCTTAATGGATTAAACATTAAAACTTTTGAACAGCTAAAAGGTCTCATGCTGGTTGATCAAATTAAAAAGCGCACTTCTCCTGATTTCAAAGAACATTTTATGGATGAGTGGACTAACATAATTTCACCCACTGAGATGGTTAAGAAAATTGAAAATTTTGAAGATATGAGAAAAACAGTAAAACCAAAAATTTCTGCCAATCAGACTGAAAAAAGTTAACAAAAGGATCATTTAAACCTTGTTATGATAATTTTGTGAAAAAAAAGAGAGTATCCACCTTATTTTAAGCATTCTGATAAATGGGATGATTCAAAATACCAGAAAGATCACCGACAAAGAAGTCAATTTCAAAACAAGAACCAAGAAAATTTATATGACAAAAGATATCGACCACGTTGTTTCGAGTGTGGATCATACGAACATTTTAAGCCTCAGTGTCCATGCTTAAAACCAAATGAAAAGGTAAATTGCGTATCTTCGAATGATAATTTATTAGAGACATATAGAATTAATGGTTTAGTTAATGGGTATGAAATGCTTATTCTTCGAGACACAGGAGCCACTGTAGATGTTATTTCTCGAAAATACATAGATAACACAAAAATGACTGGAGAACAATATCTTTTAAATGACCATTTAGTGTTAGTGTGTCTATTGTTAGTGGAAGTTGAAATTAATTGCGAACTTGGTCATATAAAGACAAAGGCAGCTGTTGTTACAAATAATCCCAGCAGATATGTATTGGGTAACAATACATTTGTTCAAAGATAAATAATTCTTAAATTTAGGAGAAATAAATGTGGTTTTGACACAATCTCAAGCAAAAAGATCTCATGAAGAAGATCGAAGCAGAGAAATTGAAATGGAGAAACAAGAACTGTCTGTTATTCAGACTGATGAAGATATTTTACCGCAAGCTGATGAGAAAGACAAAGAAATTAAGAAAATAATTAATGTTAATTCAAAGGAATTAATTGAATCTTGGCATCAAAGCAGAGATGAAAGTTTTGCCACTAAAGAATTTCTTCAAATTATCTATCTCCGTGAACTAGAAATAAAATTTATGTTCTACTAAGAAGATTGCCTGTTTTGTTAATTACTGCAAAATACATTACAGTCTGTAAATGTTTAGTGTATCTGTAGCATAGGGACATTCTAAATATGCGGTGAGCCAAAAATCGCCTTGAGAGATTGGTGGTAGGGGAAGAGGAGTGGGAGACCCTCAGACACGTCCCCCCCCGGGGGTACTGTCCATCAAAACTGGAGGCAGAACTGAGCCAAGTCGCATTGTCACTTGCATGGTGCTCAAGGCTGTAGCCAACAACAGCGTGCGTGATCTTTCTCTCCTTGCTGCGAGGAGTTTTGTCGGCTTGGGCTCACTATAGGTCAGACAGGTGAGCGTCAAACAACAACAGCAACAATAAGAAGTTTAAACATGGCAGATGTTTAACTGCAACTGCTGAATTTTTCCCCAGGCAATTTGCTGGTTATTTTCTGCTCATAATATTATTGGCCCACCAGCGGCCGAGCGGTTAAGTTGCTGAACACTGGTAGTTCGGTCCGAGGTTCAAATCCCGCGAACGGGCGTTTTCGTGGTTTTCCCCATGTGTAACGTGTATACGAGCCAGTTTCCATTAGAAAGTCCTCCACGAAGGCATCCCTCCCCTTAGGCAGATAGCCCTAGTGTGCTTTGCCGTTATCTCAATAAACCAAAACCAAACCATAATATTATTGGTAGATTTATTTGAATAATTGTAGCTAGAATAAAGGCAGTCGCCGTCCAAGCAGTATAGTGGTTAGTGTTGCTGACTGCCATGCTGAAAGGCCCGGGTTTGAATCCTGGAAAAGGCATGGATGTTTTTAAATGTATAGTGTCGGTGCGGGATGGCAATACTCTAATTATGTGGCAAGCCGAAATTCTCTTGTTTGGTTTGGTGGAAGGGGAGATGGGTATGAGACCCTCGGACCTGTGCCCCCCGCCGAGTACTCTGCATCGAAATTGGGGGCAGAACTGAGTTAAATCGCACTGTAATCTGTAAGATGCTCAAAGCTGTTGTCAACGGCAGGTGTATCTTGTGCTCCTTGTCTCGAGGAATTTTGTGGGCTTGAGCTGATGTTACTGTCAGGCAAGTGAGCATAAGAAACAACAACATAAAGGCAGTCAGTATATTTCCAAGTTCAGAAAGTTTTTACTTTAATCACAACATTTTGTTTTATGATTCTATTTATTTTATTATCCCTATGTAGTGGCTGATACATTTTTGATGGGTGGGTCTGTATTCTTAACTCTAGATAATATGTGCTTATATATTTATAATCTTGAGTATCAGATGATTAGACTTAGACTGAGTTCATATCACAGGTCAGATATATTAGCTCCAATAAATTAATCTACAATTTAAAAAGAAAAAAGATGCTACTACTTATTTAAGAATATTACTTGTGTAGTAAAAAATAAACGTTACTTTGTTTCTTTCAATACTGGCATACAATTACATAGTATTTTTACCAGATAGTTCAATTTTATGCCTTAAGGCCATTTGCGGTAATTAAGTCAATTAGGATGCAATCACACTGCTCACCCGAAGGCAAAAATATAGAAAAGCAAAGTCAAGGGTTAAATTCATCAATTCTAATGACAATGCACTTGCAAAGTAAAGCACTGCGGTTTTACATAGTTTCTGAGTAAGCTTTTCGTACAAATTGAAATAATTCTTTTATTTAAACTTGTATCCGAATTAAGATTTAACTTGAAATTAATGTAGATAGTTACTGAGAGAATTATATTTTTAGTTTTTAAGTGAGGTAGAAGGTGAGAAGAGGTGTAGAGTTTAGGTGAGAAGAGATCACTTGGGGTCACATGATACGAACTGGCGAATCAGGATGTTGAACCATGATAGCATAGTAAATTCTTATATTAATGTCTTTTGCAAATTTATTGTCTTTATTTATTGGCTTTTTACAGAATTTTAAGCAATATTAAATTGTTTATTACTTCAAAAAAATTCTTAGAACTAACATTTGTTAAAATTTATTTTATGTGTATACTGTATATTGTGTCCAATAAAGTCTGCTTGGCAAGATTTGCGCCGGCGAAATGAAAAAGTACCAAATAAACTTATTTATGGTTAAAGTTCTGTGTTTCATAATTTTGCTGTTATCTTTGTTCTTATTTCTTGTTTCTGTCTGATTTGTATTTTTGTTTTCAGGGCAGGTTGGATAAAGTTAAACAGATATTTCAGTTTATGTCTAGTGATAATATTGCACCTAATCTTCAATCTTATGCTGGCTACTTGGAGTGTATTTCTAGAAGAGAGTTTATTGATGTTCCAGAAATTCAAAATGTTATAAATGAAATGCATTCAAAAGTAAAATACTTTAATAAAATTCCTTTCTTTTTTTCTTATTTGCGAAAATTACTCTTTAACTCATTTAACCTTTTCCAACATCATAGGGTCTTTCTCATCAGGACATATTGCAAAAATGTATCTTTGTGGGTGACCAGAGAGAAAAAATTTTAGAAGTATGTAATTTATTGTAAATAATAATAATCAGAAACTTTCTTTGAATAAAAAATTAATAATCAAATTATGAAAGCAAAAGTAAATGCTAATTTTTTATATAGATATTAGGCTTTGTTGATGCAAGTGTGGCAGTTTCTTCAAATGAAACGAGTGAATCATACTCCTGCAGCCTTCTAAGAAAGCTCAATGATAAAGCTTATGGGGTATTGTCACATAGTTTAAGTTATTTTATTGCATTTTTTTAAGTTTTAAAAGTTGTTGTTTTATTAGTGTAATCTTGATTACTATTATATATTTTGTTACTGTCTGAGAATGTAACCATTCATTAATCCAAAGCAGCAAATATTTTCTATTTTCTTTCCTGGAAATGTTTGTCAAAGTGCATGGCTGAAAAGATTTTAATAGCTGTAAGATAATTTTTTATTAATATTACTTTTACAACAGATATTTAATGTTTAAAATGTCATTTATAAATCATTCTGCCGTAGAGTACTTCTTATTTCCTTTATCAGACTTCAAATGTTAAATAAATTGTCCTGTTTTTAATACGGAGAATTTTGTAAGCCTATTTTTAGAAATGAGCAAAAGAATTTTTTGTATGTTTGTTTTTCAACTTAAGTGGTTTTAAGATACATTCATATTAATTGAAACTTTTTTAAATCATACTTGAAATAGTGATTGTTTCAGTTTAATCAGCAATGCATTATAACTAAAAACAGAATTTATTTAAAAAATTTTCATGTTTACTTTTTTGTGTGTGTGTTTCTGTGTGTATAGTTGTGCATTAAAATTCTTCATATTTCTGTTTATTGTACAGAGAGGAGATAGACATCCTAACTTTAGTTTCAAAGAAGATGACATACAACAAATTTCTACTAGTCAAATGCAGTTAGAAAATGATTATAATATAAGAATTAAGTCAGTTGTTGCTCTAGAAGAAGTTAATGAAAAAGTGAAGAAGTCAGTAAGTAATTTCATTTTTAATGAACTATGAAGTTTTTTAAATGATCAAAATTGAATTCTTTATTCAGCATACTGATTTTCAATTTTGAATTAAAACTTAATTGTATTTTTAGTTACACATGAAGATGGCATTACATCATTGCAATTTATGGATATAATAAATTAAACCACTTTATATGTGTGTGTACATATATATGTACATATATATAGAAAGAGATTAGTTTTATTAAAAAATTGTAAACACATGAGCAAACTGTTACAAAATTGATGTAATGTACAAAAAATTAAATCATAAAATAAAAAAAGAAAACTAACCATTTTAATATGAGCAGTTCTAATTTAAATGTAAGGCAATTATAATTAAGTTCATATTTTTAAATAATTCAGAAAAGAAAACCACTAATGTAGACTTTCTAAGCTTGGCAGTATATTAAAAGAAGGACTTGGTACCTTAGTTTCAACAATAAAAGTAATTAACTTGTAAATTCAAAATTAAGGGAAGAAATAGCACTTAATTTGCAGTATTGAATTTATATAAATAATTTTACTGTTAGTATTTTCCAAAGCAGTGTCTACTATTTTCTGCAATGTTTTGAGAGTGGAGTATTACATTTTTACAGTTTCTTGTACCATGCCAAATACTGTGTGATGAACAAGCTGGTATTGGGCATATCTAGATAATTATTTTACAAGAAAATATCGGTCAGCAATACTGTTATTCTATGCCGAGTTCTCACTGTAAATGCTCTTTGCATCTGTTCCAGAGGATGTAGATCACTATTCGTATCTCTTACAGATAAAAGGTCATAATAGTGACTTTTAACAGGAAGTTGTTGAACATGTGATGGGGTATTTTGGCTGTTGCCGTTTGAAGAAGAAGAGTTGAAAAGTAATTGTAGTAAATGTCATATCAGGTAGCAAATATGGGGAAATTTCATTAAAAATATTTGGTTTTTGTCACCCGAATTCTAAAGTTTTGCTAAGTCACGACTCCATTTCAATGAAAATAGACCATCTCTGTCCACATAATGTTCTAAAGCTAAGCATTAAATAATTTTATGTGTACAAAGAAACCTAAAACAGAAGACACTGCTATTGTAATGCATCGTCATTTTGCAGTTGTTAAATTACTGGTACAAAAGGGATAGTAATGCAAAAGATTTCATTTACTTCAATAAAATTTTAAATTGACATATGGAAGAGAAAAAAAATCCTTAAAGATGTTTTCTTCTTCTTTTTTTCATCATGAATGTGTAATTTTCCTAAAAAAATTGCATCACCCTCATTTTTTGTATACAGACTCTCAAAAACATTTTAAAAAAATTGAACATTATGCAATCATATAAAATTTACATAGTTTATGAGCGAGCACCTGGCACAACACCAGCGATTGCATCAGCTATGCAAGTGCCAAGAGAGAAAAACACAAAAGAGACAGGACTGTTATTTGTATGTCTTTGGGTAGGAACAGTTAGATGGCTTCTTTTTTGCTGCCAACTGTGCTTAAGGAAAGCACTGGACTGATATAAACTATTGATAATTTTTCTACATGTGCAATTTCCAAAAAAGAAATTTGTTGTGATCAATCCAATGTGCCTTGTTTACTGACAAAATTCCATGGCCAGATGTGCATGCTAAAGGTAGTCTACTGCAGCACAAAAGTGATATTGTGTTTATCTATCGCTATTTTTGATGTTTTTTTCGTACCAAGATATGGATCCACTCAAATTTGTCCAAGGTACCATGAATACCCAGCTATACAAAGACATTCTGCAAAGGAAACTGAAATAGATACGTTTGTGAGTGCAATATACAGGATGATTTAACACTATACTGCAGAGCCAAAATGGTTAACATCTCGTTGCATGCACATTTCACATTAGTCACATTACATATTTTGTTTACTACTCTCATCTTTACGTCCATTTTCCATAACAAATCTCCCTTGCCATGGCCTGCTAATAGTCTGGACTTAAATATGATTGAAACTGATGGAACCAAATGTGTCAGGAAGTGTTGAACAAGAAATCTGGATCACTAAGGAAAACATTATCCAAGTCTGCCGCCATGAAATACCCTTTGGACATACTTGAAAATTAATTTTGTCAATTCCCAATCATTGTACATCTATCAAAAAGGCCAGGGATGCCCCCAATAAATATTAGTGGTGGTTGATGTTATTATAGTTCCTAATATCACTTGTGGTAGTTGAACTGCATTATTTATTTTACTAATATCCAACTTTATTAACAATAGTCACTGAAGTGGATATGTATCTTTTTGTCACAGTTTGTTTTAAAAGCTACTTTTTGGGGTGGGGGGTTCACTTCATAAAATATAATAAATGTGTTTTATTTGTAGTTTCAATTGTGCAGACATTTCCTTTAGCTGTTATTTGGAGCAATTTATGATTGCTGTATGCAACATATTGTTTTTCGTACTAAAAACAAATATATAAATACTCAGTCCAAATATATAAATACTCACTAAGAGCTATTGTTTAGATTTGTTAACATTTTTAATAACCTAATTACACATGTGAAATTTGTTTAATAGTATTTTATTTAGTAGTGAATGATGAAGAAACATTTCCAAAATCAACTTAATTATGAGAATTTTTATCAACAGGATATTTATCTTGAAATTATGTTTTTATAATTTTCCAGAGAACGTATTTGAAAGAGTGTGAAGATATTTGGAGGAAAAAATTAACCATCTCCCTAAAGAATTTAAAATATATGAAGAAATATAGTAAGCTCTTACATTTTTAATCATTATTAACATTGCATTTTTCATAAAGAATCTCTTGCATTTATGTTTTAATTATTTCTCAAATGTTTGCTTGGCACTTAAATACACAATCACAGGATTTTCCCTGTTTTACAAACATGGAGTATTTCTATGAAACATTTCATATGCTAACAGGGCATAAAGAGATGAAGTAATTATTATTTATTTGCATTAGGAAAGCTTTGAATATTTTATGGTTTTTAAAAGACAATTTAAGTCAAGCCAAACAGCTCTTAGAACCTAAAATAAAATAATGCTAAAACAAGTAATGATATGATAAGTTCATAAGTGCAGTTCATAAGTGTAAGATAATGCAGTTCATAAGTGTAAGAATTATAGAAGATTCTATAGCAGGAGAAACAGCAATAATAATTTAAAATATCTATATAACTTCATGCTCTTTTTAAATCCATTCTAATAGTTTCCTTTGTCAATTATATATTATGTAATTAACCCCTTAATTGCCACGGGCGTATATATATACACCTTGCTCAGCCAATACGTTAACTGCCCTGGGCGTATATATACGCCCTTCCAAAATACTATCATTTGCTTTGCGCTGCTACCCATAAAATTATTTGCAAAGCTTTCTAAATGCAACACCACAATGATCTTGACAAAGTATGCGAAGGAGGATACTATTTCAGAAAAATGTGGGGAGAAACTGGAGAGAGGGCTGTGTCTAAAGAGGTGAAAGTAATGACTGCGCGGTATTGGCTGGTGTTATTTGAGTAAAATGTATTTCTTTTATTCTGTGTCCTCCGCTTTTGTGTACTTATTGTAGTAGGTTACAGCATAATAAAGAAAGATGTAACGGATGTTTCAAACCCATTTATCTTTTTTGAATTATTTTTTGATGAACTGCTCGTGCTTCATATTGTTACTGAAACTAACCGTTTTGTAGATGAGTATATGAACCAACACCTTGCAAACGAAAAACCAAGAACAAAATCATGGCATTCAACCAGTTCGGAAGAAATATATGTTTTTTAGGCATACTGATTTCATAAGGAATAACACTGAAGCCTGATATTACACTTTACTGGTCTAAAAATGATTTGATCAAAACTCCATTTTAGGGATCTTTTTTATTATAAAAACATAATTTTTATTATACTTACATCTTTTTATTATACTTTTACTCTAAACATTAAATTTTGTGCATTCATTTTTTTATTTTATTTTTTATTTTGTGAAAGTAAACAGTTTTTAGAAAGTAAAACTTGCCCTTATTTTCCCCTAATACATGGCATAACTACGCGCGCCTGTGTGAAAAACCGTGGCACTGGGAAATGAATCTTTTACATTTTCTGCGGCAGTTAAGGGGTTAAGTCCTGCTCTAAAATCAATCACTATAGTTTAATCAGTATTTGACATTATTTAATATGCAAGCACTTATTAATAAAGCTATTTTCTATTCTTTATACTAACTGAGATTCCCCCCCCTCGTCTATTGAACTAATATTTATTCAAATATTTTAAATATGGAGATATATATATATCTTTGCGTTTTTATGAGTTTGAGGATTTGGAGTGATTAATGGCAACATTTGATGAAGAATGAAAACATAATTTATTAGCCAATATTACTCAGGACAGCTCCAAAAACATGTTTACAGTCATTGAAAAATTATGACAAACACACTGAAATGATCAGCGACACAGCCTTCAGGCTATAATGGTGAAGACAGCTTCATGGCAAAGCACTGGAGTACAGCTTCCACTTGGTTCAGTCATTCTCGGAACTCGACATACTCTTGAGACTCTCCACGCTACAACTCGTGATGCACTTGACTACACACTCACGAGAGAGTCAACTAAGAGACTCTGTAGATTCACTCGACAATCAACTTGATAGACTACGAAACACTCTCTACTCCGCGTAACAGCAGGGTTTATATAGCTTTTGTCCTGCTTTTGAAAACATTCTGAGCGAAATTGGTAAGAATTCGTTCTAGAAGGTTCTCCATCCGTCTTTGGCGTATTGCCAATTTTGTTTCCAAATGTCACCAAAGGGGCAATTTCATGCCAAATCTAGCAACCCTGCCTTCCCCTGCTATTTCCTGGCAACTTTAAACCTGCTTTGTGGGAAAGCTATCTTACCGTGTGGTGGACATTTCATAGCAATATGCATATTAATATTGGTATTCAATCCATATACCAAAGATTAGCTTTTGCCTTTCATCAACTCACCTTCAGAAATCTCTCTCTTTTTTTAATAACTCCAGTTTTTGCTTAGTTTTATTTAAGTGCCCCACCCCATATGTATTACTAGTTAAAGTAAAGGACTCAGAGTGAAACATTTATGTATAAATTAGATTATTGTTTTCTGCCCATATAAATGTAGCTAATGAGCTGGCTATAAGAAGTGTTATTATTATATGATTATTGTTTTCTTGACATATATTGAGCCTTAAATAATTTGAGAACATCAGTTTTCAGTGTGCAGCATCATTCAAAGTTTAAGTTTTCAGTATTCTGAGGAAACAAACTATAGATTGCATATTAATTTTGTACAATTTCAACTTAGTTAATGACTGCATGGGTAATTACTTAAATATGCTGACCTTTAGGAAAAATTAATCAAATGAATTCTTAAAATAAAGCAGCTTATATCTGTTTTTTATATATTATAGAAGTAACAAGAAATAACAGAATGCAAATTATTGCTTAGGGGTTAATGTAAAATTCCTGCACTTATTAAATTCTTACCTGTACATAGATCAGTTAATTTGAAGATTTATAAAAATTGAAATCCTCTACTAGTTTGATAGTGTATATATAATATTTGCTTGCTGATCTGTCAAATTTCAAATTCAGTACATAAAAAGTCTAGAACAGGGGTTCTCAACCGGTGGTACACAAAGAAGCAAGATTTTTTAACTATTAAATTCAAAAATTAAAACCCCAACGTCCAGTTTGTTTAAGAGTGGTGGTACTAGAGGTTTTCAATTTTTGTTTAGATGGTATGCATTAGTCAAAAGGTTGAGAACTGCTGGTCTAGAAGTTTTAAGTATGTCGTGTCATTAGAAAAGAGAATCTACAAAATGTGTCAGAGCAAAGATTTTCTTTCTCTTATTGGTATGTGTATATATATATATATTTATTTAATTTTTGTCCGCCACTTAGGTAGTAATTCCATTCTCTTTAATTATTTTCAGGTTCCCACCAACCTTCAATATATCCTTACTTGTCTGTCATTGATACTGAACTTCTAGTTAATTTGTTACTTCAGGTAAAATTTTCTAAATCTTTTATTTTGAAAAATCATAAAAAATTGGATATTTCTTATAAGCAAGCACCTTACATAGCCGCCAACACTCCCATTTTTTATCAAGAGGCTCCTGCGTTTTCATCTCATCTTCCAGTCTCCTAGTAGATCTGTAAATCTCCTGGTTTTTAATTTTTAGCCTTTATTAGTAATTAATTAAATTCAAACTATGCAAATTTCTTTTCTCCATCTCGAGAGATTTTCAGCATATTTTTTGATTTAATTTTATTTGATCTGAATTGTGTTAATCTCTGCCAAGCACTTGTAAAACATTATATGAAGATTCAGTGTTTAATCAGCAAATATTTGTATTTAATTTGGTTTTACAGCAGTGTATGGTACATTGTTATGTTTATCCACACAATTCTATGTACAGTAGTTATTAATTTTTAATTTCACACGTTTTGGAAAGTACTATTTTGGTGAATTAAAGCTTTCTTTTTCTACTTGGGACTTTCTTAGTTTAAGAAGGAAAATAGAAGAAGTTTAAGAAAATTATTAAAGGAAATTAACCAAAGAGCTTAAAATTTAGAATATCTAATTAAATAATTATAAATTTTTATGCCATAATCATATTATAAATAGCTGAATAACATGATTCTTGCATTATAAAGAGAATTGAAGTCATTTTTGAATTCTTTTGAAATAGTACTGCAAAAATCTTCTGGTTTTTGGCTCAAGAATCTCCCAGTTTTTCATATTTCAAGGTTAGCAGTTATAATGTTCTATTCTTTAAAATTCCTCTTTTTTTTAATTTTATAATCTTAAGTGCAGATAAGAATGTATGGTTTTATGTAATTATTGTAATAAAAACTCTTAACAAGTAAATTTGAATAATAATTTTTTGTAAATAAATTTCTTATCACAAAATAACTATGCAGAATTAGAATTTACTATAAAATAGTTAAGTATAAAGCTAAAAAATATTTTTGGTTTGAAGTTGGTTTCGTGTTATGAAAGTATTGTACGTATTTGATAAGGAGCTAGTTAACATATTAAACTTACAAGCATACTTCAGCAGTGATGAATAAAGAAAAGGCATGAAATGAATCTTTAAAACTAATTTAAATCTCTCTTCTGTTAACCTAAATTAGTTTTAACAATTCCTGGAGGCTGGGGCATATGCAGGGTGTTTCAGCAAACCTTTAGGAGAGATAGAGTATATCTAGACGATGTAAAATCAGATAGCAATGCATGGTTGGAAGCGTCTTCCTGAAGCAGTGTAGACAAAACACAAGAAAGAAAGGACATAAACAGGGTGAGAAAAGAAGTTTGTTATGCTTAGTACAGCAAAACCAAGAAATAAGAACAAAAACAGACAACGATTATCATCAAAGAAGGTATTTGAAATTACGACCCCATGACCATGATTCAGGCCTCACAATCTCCGAAGTATAGAAGATCTGATGTTCTGGAAAATACCGGACGTGTTTTGGACTTCCTTAGCAGAACCATGATGCATGCAACAAGTTTCTCAGCACTGTTAATGGGGGTTTCGTACACCACTGTCTTGATGTACCCTCAGAGGAAGTACTTATTGCACGTGAGGTCTGGCAATCTTGCTGGCCAATGCCGATCCCATGTTGATCCATGACGACCACCCCTGCCGATCCCTTGTTGAGGATACATTTAGAACATAATTTCTTCCATTGTCTAGGCACACTCTATCTCTCCTGAAGATTTGTAACCAATTTGCTGAAATACCTTGGATGTCTCATGTATTCACTACATTAAAAAAAATAGTTATGATAAAGATTTAAAATTTGCTACTGAATCAAGTATAGGAAATGACAGTTCCTACTGATTTTCTTATCTGTGCTGATTAAATTATTGGCTAAATGGCATCAATGCATAAAAAATTAGTCTCCATAGTACACGTGGAAAAGTTAATGAACTTTAAGAATTGTTTTTCTGAAAAAAACTCAAGGTTTAATGTTATGCTAGCATTCTGTCATGCTAACACAACAAACTAGCATTCTGAAAATTGAAATTACAGCAAAAGCATAGCTGTTTTCCTCACTTAACTCACTCAAAAATTATAAATAGTTCTACAAGTGCTACCTAACTAAAATGTAATGGACAAAAATTGTTGGTTTTTAAGATTGGTATATAGATAATATTCTCAAAAGAATCATCCACTTCTAACAAAAACACATTATGGCAATATACAAAAAGAAAACTTTATTAAAGAAAATCAGTCATATGATATCTTACCACATTCTAGCAAACCACAACAAGAAACTCTCTCAATTCCAGATACATTTTTAACTCATTCTTTTTACAATTTAATATCAATGTTGCCAAAATATTAAAACTTACAATTATGCTTCATAAACAAATACTATCAATCCCCCCTTATTTGTATTTAAAGATCTAATTTTAATCAGTCAGTCATGTCCATACTTTAATAGTCCATCTTTCAATTTCACCCTAGGTAGATACTTTGTTAAAATATCTACTTCTTGATTTTGTGAACCCACAAACTGAGGAATGATTTGATTCATTTCATATTCATCTTTTACAAAGAAATATTTTCTGTTAATGTGCCTTGAACTGCTGCTTTGTTTTGGTTTTTTAATCCAATCTATTAATGCTTGACAATCTGTTTTAATTTCTATTGGTTTTCAATTAGATCATCTTGACCCAATTCTTCAAGTAAAAAGATGTACCATTTAACTTCACATGCACATTCACAGAATGCTAAAAGTTCACCTTCCATTGTAGATAGAGCAACTATTCTTTGTCTGTTGCACTTCCAATTTATGAAATTTTTGAAGCATTTTGTGTTCCTTTAATATATCTAAATATCCTCTTTACAGCTTCCCAGTGTTTCTCCCTGGGATCTTGATTATATCTTGACAAATTACTTACTGCAAAAGCTAAGTCTGGCCTTGTGCCTATTGCTAAGTACATCAATGAACCTGATGCTTCTTGATATTTTGTCTTCAACACAGGTGACAAAGATGCTATGTCATCAAGATTTTCACCCAATATTCCCTGAGTCTTGACAGGTTTACATTCATCCATTTCAAAGTTTTTTAAGATTTTAGTTATATAGTTTTCTTGACTGAGTATAAGTTTTCCAGATTCTTGCCGGATGTCTATTTCTAAAAATTTTTTTTGTGTTTTAGTGACTTCTTGTGATGTGAACGATTTATATAGTTGAGAGATGATGTCATTTATCTCAGAATTTGAATTTCCAATCACAATTAAGTCATCCACATATACTGCTATGATAAGGTAGTTGATCTTATCTTTATAAATATAAACACATGGATCTGACTTTAGTTAAATTCTTTTTTTAAAAACTTTACATAATTCATCATACCAGCATTTTCCTGATTTTAGTAATCCATATATACTTTTGTTTACAAGGTATACTTTGTTCGGATCTGATATGAAGCCAGGTGGTTGTTCCATGTAAATTGGTCTATCCAAGTATCCATTTAAATATGTAGTTTTCTTTGATTAAATCTGGTTCTACTAGTCTTGCTTTGTAAAATTGTTTCTAAATTACCCTTTTTATCCCTTTTTGAGAATATCCAGCGGTTTTTAATAACTTTCTTATCGATGGATCTTTCAACTAATTCCCAGACTTCACTAGCCTCCATTGAACTCGGTTCTACTGTCATTGCATGTAGCCAGAATTCACTTTCAGCAGATTCTACAGCTTCATCATATGTCTTAGGTAATTCTTCATTTGTATTGTATACTACATAATCTTTTAATTTTCCTGGGGGCTTCGTAGTTCACGCTGGTCTTTTTCTGTATAGAATTTCCATGACTATCATTTCCAGGTTCTTCATTTATTTGTGGATACTCGGTTGGCTTTTTCCAATGAATTGTTATTGTTGTGTTCATCATCACTGTTGGATGGCAAAATTTTCTCAGCTTCTTTATCTGTTGTATTATCTTCTCTATAGTATCTGTCAGTTATTTCTGAATTGTTTACATTTCCATTAGTTTGTTCCTTATAAAAAATAATTTCTTCTAATATTTGATTTTTACCAAATTTTAAATAATTTTCTTTTAGTAAAGGGAATCCAAGTTTCTGTTCATCAAATTTTACATCTCTCACTTCCTAAATTTTATTTAGTTCAGGGATATAAATTTTGTATGCTTTTCTCTTCATGCTATAGCCTATCATAATTCCTTTTTGAGCTTTTAGATCCATCTTACTATGTTTTTCTCGTCTTACATGGACATATACTTCACATCCAAATCTTTTAAGATAAGTAATGTTAGGCTTGCATCTTTTATATGGTTCATATGGTGTAAACCTTTTATCATTTTTGTGACTCTTGTTATTCACATGTACAGCTACTTTAATGCTTTCAGACTAAAATTGTATCGGTAATTCTGCATCAATTAAGATAGTTCTAGCAGATTCAATTATATGAGGGTAATCCCCCAAAAAAGGTCTCCTATTTTTTGGGGACGTAGAGAAAGTTTTAATACGGTTGTTGGCAACACTGTTGTGAGTGGTGCCTTCTCCGCTACCACATAAGCACGCAGGCGGCGCTTCGCTCGGATGCTCAGTCTTGGCTTGGCAGCCATTCGAAATGGAGCTCCCGATAAACGTTACCACCAAGTGCGAAGTGTGCGCAGTTATTTGATTTTTGAATGCAAAAGGCATTAAACCGATTGAAATTCACTGCCTATTGACGGAAGTGTATGGACAGTCATGCATGTATGTCAAAAATGTTCGCAAGTGTTGTAGAGAGTTTACAGCCCGTCCTACTGAAATTCATGACGAAGAAAGGAGCGGGAGGTGTTGCAACTTATGATCTTTTTTCTTATTCTTATTATTTACATTTAATAACATCGATAAGTGAAATTTTGCTTACCTTTCTTAATGAATATCCACAGGAACGCTTGGAATTCCTTTTCTTTTTTATCGCACAAAAGCTTTATTTACAGCTATGTACAAGAATTGTATGTTTACATTAGAACATTCATCATGT